GCTCGGCGTTGTAAGATATGTTCAACGATGTATCTTGTAGTCAGCAACAAAATATCCAGTTCTATTTTTGTCAACTGCATAAATCCTCTGTTAAAGTCGTGCTGCCTCAAAATTTTTACATAAAAACTCTCCAAACCTTGCTACTCCACGCTCTGTGATCGTATAAGAGCATTGATCTGGGTGACACAGGGTTGCACGTCAATATGACTGCTCTGTTTTCTATGCATCTATTCGAGTCGTGTCATACGCATATCCATAATGCTACCTATCCATTAAGAAGAATAATAAACATTCTATTGCACAGCACTACATCCTATTGAGTGATTGCGTTCAAATGTGTTCCCCACTGTGGACTCTCCGAAACCAACCCTACCAAATCGTAACCCAAGGAACCGAGAGGAAATATTTCGACTGAATGCAGGCAAACTGATAAGGTATACATGGATGGACAAATCGAGTCAAATCAACTCAAGTTTAGTGACATTTTTCGGCAGCTTTTAGATCTAACACGTGAATTCTGACTTAGATCAGATGACAGTTGTTACACGAACAATTAGGAGATGGTCAAAGCTGGACATGTTACTGTGTGGATCTTGTATATGCGGATAACTGTGGAGATCCCGAGGGGAAGTTCGGAGATTTCACACACACACACACACACAGTTTTTGTGATACAGACACAGTGCTTTTCGTCAAGAGTTACCCGATCAACAAACTTTTCGCATGAATCGACCCTGGGGAACGAAGTGAAATCCCCTTTCTTTTAAATCAAGAAGAACTATCGGAGATCGCAATTTTAATCATGCGGTCTTGGAGGACGGCTGGCTTTTTAATCGACATGTATGAAAGCAAAAAAATTGGAGGCTTTTAGCAATAAATAAACCGGGAAGATTTGTGCGCGAAATTAACCACAAGCTATTCACCAGGTTGAGATTAGACAATACTCTGACTATCGATAATCACATAGATATTTTGTGACGGAACGAGAGCTAGTCTTAGGACTAAAGGGGATATAAGCAAACTGGATGATAAAAAGCGGATGCAGGAGGTGGCCAGGAGGTAAGAACCAATAACAAAATTTTGTTGACATAGTCTCCGAGGGAATGGGATCCGCTTGTTTCAGGTGATAGAACACCATGCAATACATTACCAACATTTCAACACAAGACAAAACTTTGGGAGATGGGGAAATTTTAAGAGTACAAAGATAAAAGAAATGGGTGAAAACGATACTCTAAAAGGCACCAGAAGAGAAGTTGCTAGAAATAGATTTTTTATGACACACCTTATGCGGTGTACAGCAGACGAGGTAAACCTTGTAGTCGCAAAAACCTGCTGTTCAGTGATGGAACTCGGCAGCCCAAGCCTTGCGGGACTAAGATTGGCAAACCAAATAAGGACCCGATAGATTAGATCTAGTATGGAACCGGACGACAGCAACGCTGCCTACTACCAATGTTGGCTGGCAGTTGGGGGGAGGGGAGGCTTGAATCAAGAACCATAGGGTCCAAAGCACGCCGGTGAAAGTGACTGAACTACTGCGCCAGCACCAATAAAGGAGAACAGGACAAAACATTCAAACCTTTGAATTTTCGGCCACATTCCTAAATAGATTGATCGAGGGAAACAAAGGCGTTTGCACAATCATCAAACCTCAAAAGTATGGTTGCATCAGCACTCTTGCCTAACAGAGAAGCAACAGAATGCACACTTGGGAGCAACAGTATCCGGAGTGAATAGACTGATTGATTGGTAAACTGGATGTGATCCTATTTGACACCCTGGGAGTGCCATTCGATTCGGTAAGACATGTTGGGCCCGTTGGTCCTCATCACCAGCCAGTATCACCACCGTATCAATANCAGGATAATCTCGTTATCATCTGACAGAAGTGTTATTCGGGCCAATACTGGGCCACTAGAGTGAGAGTAATCTGTTCTGACGAGGTGTTGGATGATAAGCTGATGTATATGATAGCGGATACCCATATCTTTTCATTGAAAGGAATCTGATCGGAAAAAATATCGAAAAGTCCCGTGCAAACTGTGAGAGAGAGACTTGTTCATTGGTTTACCGTTTAAAGGCGATACCGTGAGTAATATCTTAGTTCGACACACAGAACACAGAATTTAACAACACCTTCAACGCTGCCAAATTATGGTGCGTGTTTCTAGGTGTTCCTATGATCCACATTCAAAATAAGGATAATATGTCAATGCTGACTTCATCAATGGTGGTGCATCTCATGTTGATCGAACGGCGCGACAGCTATATACCCGGATCAAAGAGCATCATCCACACTGCGTTAGACCAGGACAGACCGGATCAATAAACAGCTCAATCTTAACTCATTTAGTCAACATCGGGCATCAAATAAATCCGCACATCGTTTTCAAAATTATTCATTGTGTCTCCAACACCAAATGGAAGGGTGTTCAACTGCACGCTCCAGCAATAGTCGAAGCGATCGGCATAAGAAAGTTAACCCCTGATCTCTACGACCAGAAGCGTTTAGTGCAGTGCTTCCAACATCGATAGCGTATAATCGATCAGACCCTATAAGTTCCGCCGTCCAGTCATCCTGAAGTCACAACCGAGCTAAAACAATCAAATGACAAAAAACAAGTTGATCCTGACAACCTCTCACCCATGATTGTTGATATCGTATGTGAGTGATCAGTTTTCAAGTGTTACAATTGTTTCGCTAAACTGTGTATGATCACTGAACGATGGGCATTTCTTGTCTCACATCAGAGCTCGAATTCACCACGACCACGACCACCACGACGACACCCACGACGACCACCACAATCACGGCCACCATTAGCACACAACTGGAATCAACGGATCAGGCAAATGTGCAACTGTGTGACGAATATCATTCGAGTACGGGGCTCATGAAACCGGGCATTGTTTGTGTGGGACGCGATAAAACTAGCCGAGACTGCAAAGGGAAACGCATTCGTACCTCATTCAAACATCAACAATTGCAAATGATGAAAGCTTTTTTTGAAGTCACTCGCAATCCGGACTCGAAGGATTTGAAACAGTTGTCCGTTAAGACTGGTTTATCCAAACGCGTGTTACAGGTACGTACTCCAGTTTGCTGTACCGCACCGTTTATGCTAAAAGGATTCGTGAATCCGCGTCCCCCCTCCCGCCCCCCTCACCACCGCGCGATCCCCGCTCTACCCAGTCCTATTACTGCAGTTCCCACGAAACCATTTAGTTTTCTACATTTCACATAGTACGGTTTTTGTTTTTTGTTTTGTTTCCTTTTGGTTGGTGTTCAATTTTTTCACTGAATTATAAATT